CTACACAGCCCAAACCCAGTTTGCAGTGCTATAAAAGGAGGCGCAGAAGCAAGGGAAAAGGAAGTACTCACACCAAGAAAAATCAGAGTGTAAAATAGAGGTCTAGGGTTGAGAGTCCCTTGTGTGTAAGTCACCCTTTGCATTGTTTGATGCATTGTGGTAGACATATTTATAAGTGAAGAAGGCTAGTCTTCACGTGTAAAGTCTGTTTAGGAATACTTGTAATCCAAGCAATTGTCTGGTGGATGATTGTTTTGGTTAGGTAGATTCTAGGTTGTGTCTCACTCGAAGCTGTGAAGCAAGAGTGTGTGAGTTCCTTGATCAAAGCTGTGAAGCAAGATCAAGGTGTGTATGCAGTGTCTCTTCATACTGTTTTTGTAATTGTTTGATATCACTGTTGTGTGATTGAGGGGGAGTGAGTGGGTATACTCAGATACTAGAGTGTCTCTAGGCTGAAGTGTCATTGGGTAGAGATTAAGTGAGAAGTGAAAACTGGAGGTTTGACTTTGAATTGATTCTACTAATAGTGAATTTCCTCCTTGGCTTGGTAGCCCCCATATGTAGGTGTTGTTGATACCGAACTGGGTGAACAATTACTGTGTTATTTATCTTTCTGCATTTACAATTCTATACTTTAAATGGTTAGATAAATAGTATGACAGACTGCAGATGTCACAACAGAGGTCGTGACATTGGGACAATTTAAAGAAATTTAAATTGGCCATGATCTGTTCTCATCCTTGTTGAGCAGATATCAATGTTCTTGGAACACATGTGATCTGCATACCAGAATTTCAGGAAGATTGTAAGAACAAAATTTGATTCGACATCTGACCTTATGTTTTGATGATAACAATACATAGATTCATAAAGAATAATTGTGTACCCTAATAGTTTTGTTAAGTGTGCAGATACTAGATACATGTTCTAACTTTGAAGAAGTGGCATGTGATGTCATCAGACTCTGAACCTAGTGCACTCTGACTTTGAGAAGTGTGTTCTACAAGATTGCTTAACGCTTCTGAACATTTTTTTATGACTCTGACAAGAGAAACATCTGATATTGTCAAGCTTTGAAGTCTTGCGCTCAACAGCTCTGATGAATTATGTCACCAGACTCTGAAAAACTGGATCAAGACTCTGAAGACCAAGGTTCTGAAGACTCTCTCATAAAAACTTTGATTCTTCTTCTATGCATGCCTCATCAATTCTCTATATGAAGCATCTGAATATTTGAAGATAAGATTAAAAAGTTTTACGTGAGAAAATAGTAGACAGTACAAGATCAAATATTCCTTCCACTATACTGATTTTGTGGAAAAAGACTGTATTATTGTATCAATGTGTCTTCCATTTTCCCAAACCATTATGTAAGGATACAACTATATTTGTGGATTTCATTTCTACCCTCCAACGGGTCTTTTCATTGCATATATAAAGGAGTCTTGGAAGAATGAAAAGAATGGAACACATATACAACATTCTTGGCATAAAGAACTATCACGTAAATATTGCAAAAAATGAATATTTTGAGAGAAAGAAAAACAAACACACATGAATTATTGTTCATAAACTTTCATAGAAAATATTTTGTATGTAATTCTTTGTATTTCATCTGTGTAATCTACTTTCTTAGAAACATCTTGTAAATACACTTTGTATTTCAACTTTTGACAGTTAGTCTTTATGGTTGTAATCAAGTTTGGTTATAGTGGATTAAGTCCTTGTGATAAGACAAAATCACCTTGGCGGGTGAACGGTAGGAATAGCTTTGTTAACAACAAATCAGGATACAAATAATCATGTTCATTATTTTTGTTCTTAATTTCTTTTTTATTGTCTTGGATAGTAAATATTTTTTATTTTAAAATTCCAATTCAAATTTCTCTTTTTTGTGTTTATGTTATCTTCACTTTGTCCAAAATTATAAATTATTTTATAATTTTTTTAGTAAATCATAATTTACTTTGTAATTTTAGTAAATTATTAACGTTTTTTTTTCTATTTATCATTTTCTTCTCTTAATCTTTAAAATATTATTATTACTTTTTAATGAAAAATAATTTTATAAATTATGTTTCTTAATCAATATAAAACGGCTAATACATCATATAGTTTTACATATTTATTTCAATCCTATGTTACTAAGTTGTAATATAAAAAATCATATGTTACTATGTCAATTAATAAATATCATAATTCCTATTTTTTTAACACATTGTGTTACGTGTCAACACACGCTCGAGAAGAATACATATTAAACTTATTTACAAAACATATAAGAATAATAATTATAAGATTTTTAAAACAAGTAATACCATTTTTTTTTTACAAAGCCTGATAAGAGTGACAATAGTCGAACTCTTTATCCTAAAATTTATGAATAATAATAATAATAATAATAATAATAATAATAATAATAATAATAATAATAATAATAATAATAATAATAATAATAATAATAATAATAATAATAATAATAATAATAATAATAATAATAATTTTATATCACTTGAATAAGTGAATTGTATATGCAATTATGGCTAACAATGAAAACTAATTTGAATAAAGTTTGAAATTTTATTCGAGAATTAAATTATTAAACTAAACTCATGATTCAAATGAGTTGAATATGTGGGGAAAAAAAATTAAGTCGTTAATTAAATGAGTTGAACTTGAATTATAAATAGTTCGACTAGTAAATTTCATAAATGAATTGGATTATATATGAGAATAGTTATATAAACTCTAAGATTAAATATAAATATCTATTTTAAATCTTAGTTATATATATTTTTTATCTAACAATTCTAATTGATAATTTATATTCTCAGTAAAATATTTTTAAAATAATTATAAAAAAAGTCAACATTATAAAAATAATTTTTTTCAAAAACTAATTTAAAAATAAAAATATCATCAAATTTAAAAAATATATATTATAAATATCTTCAAATTGAGCCGGTTTTGAATTAGAAATTCAAATATATCTCTCGAAAAGTGTATAGTTTTTAAAATAGTAAATTTTTGAAACAAAGTTAATTTTCAATCGTATAACTTTTATTTTTATTTCAATATTTTTTTTTTAAATTTTTTTAAATGTCAAAATATATATAAAAAAAGCTATTTTAAAAACTGATTTTTAAGTTCGTGAAGCAAGCGAGATAAATCTAACAAGATGAATCTAACGAGTTAAACAAAAATATTCGTTAATTTATAATGAGTCGGGTTTGAGTTTTAAAAAAAAGTTTATGACAAATTTAAGTTGAGCCGAATTCGACTCGACTCGACTCATTTTCAATCCTATATAAAATTGTTGAGTTAAATGAGTACAAATTGATAGTTTAAAGTTCAGATCATATATGTAACATTTAGTTCTATTTAAATATTAATGTATTTTTTATATCTATAAATCAATAATTAAAAATAAATATACCAAAATAAGTTGCATGTAATTATAAATATCATTTGAAAAAAGATTAAGCCATTTTTATTTATATCTAACAATTACAATTTTATAAAATATATTTTAAATAAAATGTATGCATATAAATCGAATAATTATAATAATAAAATAACATTTCTTTTACAGAAAAAAAGCAAAAAAAACATTGAATAGATCTAACTTTGTTAAAAAACATAATAATAATAATAATAATAATAAAAAGAAGTAAAATCATCGAATATAATAGTTGGTTCAATAAACATTGAACAAAACATTTTTATTTACAAGGAAAAAAAAAGTAAACCTACAAAAAATTCTTATTTTAGATGATATGAATATTAAAAAAATAATATAAATAAAAATTATTCTCATTTACCTTTTACTCCTTCAACAACTCCACCACTCTTATGCAAAATTACTATATATTCGTTTTACAAAATAATTTTGTCTTAAATTATCATTTACTTTATAATTTTAGTAAATTACTAATGTTTACTTTTATCATAATTTTTTTTTCTATTTATTACTTTCATCTTTTAATTCTTTAAATTTTATCATTTAATTTTTTAAAAAATTAAAACAAAAAAAAAGATTTATAAAGGAGTAATAATAGTTAAACTTGATATCTTAAAATTTATAAATTTTATTTTAATTAATCAAAACTAATAATAATAATTTACTTTTGATATATTCAAATAATTTTACACCTATTAAGTAGGTGAATTATCTCAAATGATATTTATTAGTCGTAAAATTCTGAATTAATGTTGGATCTTAATCGTAATATTAATTAATATTTATATTTTAGTATAAACCAATTATTAGTATTTATAAAGCAATAATTTTTATAAAAAAATTATACCAAAAGTAAATTTAAAAATGTCATTTAAAAAATGATTAAGCCAAGTTTTATTTATATCTCTCAATTAAAATTTTATACAAGGTATTTTAAATAAAAATGCATGCACAAAAATCAAATAATTCTAATAATAATAAAATAACATTTTTAATAGGAAAAAAATCAAAAAACATTGAATAGAACTACCTTTATAAAAAGCATTATAAAAAAAAAAGTAAAAATCATTGAATATAGTGCTTTCTTCAATAACCCATTGAACAAATCACTTTTAATTACAAGGATAAAAAATAAAAATACAAACAATTTCTTATTTTACATAATATTTTTAAAGAAATTAATACTATAAATCTCAAAATATTCTCATTTACCTTTTACTCCCACAAACTTCCACCTTTCTTTCCTCTCTCTCTCTCTCTCTCTCTCTCTCTCTCTCTCTCTCTCTCTCTCTCTCTCTCTCTCTCTCTCTCTCTCTCTCTCTCTCTCTCTCTCTCTCTCTCTCTCTCTCTCTCTCTCTCTCTCTCTCTCTCTCTCTCTCTCTCTCTCTCTCTCTCTCTCTCTTTTCCTAACAAACAAAACCACTTATAACCGGAAAAACCACTCTTCCAAAATCCATCACCACCTTCTTATATAAATATTCCCCTGTTTTCTGTGTGCTTCCTTATTCTTCTTCCTTCCTTTTCTCTTTCATTCTCTTCGATGGGGAAGTACATGAAGAAACCAAAACCTAAATCCGAATTACCTTTGCTTGATTCCACCACCACCACCACCACCACCACCACCACCTACTTTGGTGTTCGAACTCGTGCTAAAACCCTAGCTCTTTCTCAGAATCAGGATCTCTCTCTTTCTAATGATTCTTACCTTCAGCTTCGAAGTCGTCGCCTTCAGAAACCTCCCACTCCTCAACATTCTTCTAAGAAGAATAAGCCCCAAAATCAAAACCCTAAATCCCCAATTCGTAGGGAGGTTAGCAAGGAGAAAACTCCTGACGCTGAAGATGCTGACTTTGGGGAAAATGTTTTGGATTTTGAAGGTAGAGACAGGTGCGTATTTTCCTTTTTCTTCTTTTATTCGTAATTTAATTTTTCTGTATTTTTTGAATTCGTAATTTTTTGAATTTCAATTCGGATTATTCTCTTTCGCGCTCTCTGATTATTATTATTATTATTATTATTATTTTTTACAGAAATAAAGCTGACAACGGATTTTTTTGATTTATTTTTTGAGATTTTTTAGCTAAAATTTTAATTTAGGGCCTTTTCTTTTAATCATTTTTATTACCTCTCTAACAATTTGTTTATTGTTGAAGCTCATGATTGTGGGACAAAGCAGAACATGAATTTGATTCGGGAATAATTCCATTTTTTCTAATTTCGTTTCCTGAATCTGTTGAAAGATAGAAACTTTCTCTTAGCAATTACATGACTTCATGGCGCAATTCAATTCAATTCGTTTCTTTTCCGAATATTAGTTCTAAAGATGAATGAATTTGGGGAAGATTTTTTGTTTTTGTTTTCGTTTTCAAGCTTAACGGTTCTATGTTGTTGTTCCTTTTTGAGTGATTTCAGCATCTGCTTTATATAACTTCTATTCCCTTCTGGCTTTTGCCTGTTTTTACGGGTTCTTTTTTTCCTGCTTATCTTAATTTTTGTGATCTTCATCACATGCATTCATGTTTTGTGTGTGTTTATTGCTTAATATACTTTTGAAATGTATCTCAAAATATTTTCCCTGGGATTGATTAATGTTTTTTTTTGTGCCATGTTGTTATTTATTATTACTGTTACTTTATTGCAGGAAAGTACTGATACTTTCTTACAGTAGCAGAGATTTCACCCTTTTTCCATTTTTTATTTTATTTTTACTATATAGTTTTATGCAGCTTTTGAAATCTTTCCATTTCATGTGCTTTATTGGATTCATCATCATCATATTTGCAATTGAATTACGTTGAATAATTAATTATTCATTGTTATGAATTCTGTTCATATGCAATCTTATTTGAAATATTGTTGTGTTAGTGTTTCTAGTTTATGTATGTTGAAATTGCTATCTATTTATTACTCGCAGCAGAAGCACCCGGGAAACCACACCCGTCAATTTGATAAGGAACCCGGACATTCTCAGGACTCCTAGTTCGACTACCAAGCGTACTTTTTCGACTGAAGCTCATCGCAGAACGGAGCATGCAGCTAGAACTGTTATCCCATCTACACGGGAAATGGATGAATTCTTTGCTAAAAATGAAGCGGCTCAGCAAAAGAAGTTCATGGAGAAGTATGCTCTATTGGTTTGATTTTCTAAGTTTTGTGGCTTTTGCGTTGCCCCAAGTTAACTAACTTATTTATTTCTGATGTTGGTTATGAATTCTAGGTACAACTTTGATCCTGTGACAGATATGCCACTCCCAGGGCGTTACGAATGGGAAAAATTAACACCCTAGAAGACAAGCTAGTGTTTAAGTGTTGCATCAAGACATCTTTGAAGTAGCAGTGTTAGAGTTTGTTGAAATGGGTGGTGGTGTTATTTCCATTTTCCATCACTTTCTATTTACTTGTAAAGAAAGTAGGACTTTTCAACATATGTAGACTAATGATCTGTAACTTTACAGAGGTGTTGATTACAAACACAACTATACAAAATCCTTTGTCTAACAGATCATCAAAGAGGGAAAAAAAGGGCTGTAGTTGTAGGATTTAGGGAAAAAAAAATCAAATTAGGTCTGTATGAGGTTACAGGAATTTCCTTTTGTTCTTGTATTTTACTCTTCTTTTGTCTATACTTGTACTGATGGAACTTGAACAAACTCTTAGAAATAAAGACCAGATTCCCTCATGTAGTAATAATGTTCTGTCATTTTTTGTTCAGTTCTATATCAAAAAATTGGCATTGTTCTAGCAGGAGACAATGAATCTTTCATTTGTTTTAGATAATATTAGCTAGCTGTTGTTTCTGTGGACTCTAGCTATATATTGCTAAAGTCTGCTGGTTTTTATCATCCAATAGTGTGGGGCAATGCTAAGCTAAGAGTGAAATTTTGTTTTCTTTGTTATCATGTCCCCTTAAATTGGAATATATGGATTAAAGATATATTATTATATCATCTATGTGACAAAATTTAAACCGAGCCAAATGTAAATCGGTAAAATAAAAAAAAATTAAAAAAATAAAAAATAAAACAACACAAAATCAATATTATCATTTTCACCAAATAAATAATAATGATGACTTAATGCTGTTGGAGGCATTTACAAAAGGGAAAATGATACGTAGTACCTCATTGAGATTTGAGGTAGGGGCACAATTTCCACGTTTGTTAAGGATGAATCAACTTTCTGACTTGAAACATGTAATTGTTGCCATCTTTTAGAGGTAGAAATTCACAATCATCATTGTTTTCATGGAGATGCTAACAAATGTGAGTTGAGTTCTTTTGAAACATATTATTTATATTCATTTTTCCCGAAGTGGTCCCAATCGCTATTTAAGTCATTGCCTCATAAATTTCTATCAAATGTTTCCACCCTAAATTTTGACTATGGATGAATATATTCACCAGGTTTGAGTATGCGGCGGACACGACTTGGATCATCCGCAAAAAATATAGTTGCAGCAATTGTTCTTCAAGTTTTTATGTGACTTGCTGGCTTATATGATGTGTTGTCTACTTTTGATGCTACAATAAAGTAAGGATTCTTGTTACCATAGTTAAATATCTTTATATATATATATATATATATATATATATATATATATATATATATATATATATATATATATATATATATATATATATATATATATATATATATATATATATATATATATATATATATATATATATATATATATATATATATATATATATATATATCATGCATACGAATTTATGAGTTGAAGACAATCATCTTACAAATTTGTTTTGAATATTAATTATGTCAATTCACAATTTTATTAAAGTTAGATTTAAAATTCAATGTATCACTTGCTTTCAAATTTTTGTAAGCATCTCATATAGATAATATAGAATCTGAACATAAATTTGTAAGATTAAGTTAGGTTGAACCATAATAATTCTTAATTATTCTTTTTCTTTTTCTTCTTGAACTTGTGGGACTTGTATCCTTAACTGTAACCTATTCTTCTTCTTCTTCTAGAATTTATGAGACTTGTATCTATAACTGCAACCTATAAATGGATTCATTTAGAGAAAACAGTCCTCTGTGATATGCATCATTGGTGTAACACCCCCTTTCTATACCCCCAAATAAACAATTAAATCATTTAGGCACTTGATAAAAGTTTCATCAGAGTTTAATTAATACATGATATAAAAGAGGTGTATCACATTATCATGAAGTTAAACACCTATAACATCTGCTCAAATAGATATGCAACAATGGGCAATTCACAACTGAAGAACATAGTTCTAAAACCCACATCTCAATATTTAGAATAAAGCGGAAACATCTAAACATTGAATCGATACATTCATATAAACATATATACATCATTCAGTTAATTCATATGTACAAACATCCATCATCAGATACATACGCAGATGTATCACAAAAGAAATCAAAACAAATGTATCTCCAAAAAGAGCCAAAGGTTTCCTAACTACCCAGATGTTACATATCAGAGCCATCGACCAAAAATAATGAAGACCTGCTTCACAAAAAGGACCTCCAGTAATCCTACTCTACAATGCCTCATAGAGCATCATAAAAAAGCAGAAGGGTGAGAAACAATATCATAACAGTCAATACATATAATTATATATCTATATACATACATGGGATTAACACAATTCAAATTCTCACCACATCTCATCACAATGCATATTCACACAATCAAGCATATTCATCAAATCATGCGTCTATACATACTCATCATTTTCCACATAAACATCTAGAATTATGTTCAATTCACTCCATGCATCATATAAAGATGACCAATGCAACTCATAGAGACTGACTCACGACTCTATGCAGATGCAAATGCGGTACCGACTCAATTCAGCAAATTCTCCAAGGAATCAAGTATTCAACAGATTCTCCAAGGAATCAAATATTCATCAGATTCTCCGAGGAATCGGATATTCAGCAGATTCTCCGAGGAATCAAATACTCTGTAGATTCTCCGAGGAATCAAATGTTCAGCAGATTCTCCAAGGAATCAACATCGCTAGGATGTACATCATGATGCCTTTATGCAAAATGACTCACAACATTACTCTACATGCATACATATTCGCAAATATATCACTATGCATATTCATCTCATACAAGCACATACAATCTATGCACATTCACAATATACTTATACTCCATAATATACACACACTCTTCATTTCAACACATACCATTCCATATAAGGCATATATTTTCACAATCAAAATTCCACATTCTAGGATTCACGCCTTGCGGCTACCCACAATATAACATACCACACGACACACAAAACTATTCAATTCGATAAGGATTAAACATAACTGAACAAAGAAATCCGCATGAAAAAGGAAAACACAGAAAACAGGAAAATGTTGTCGCATTCGCCAACCTTCGCCTGGCGAAGCCTCTGGCGAATCTTCGCTACTTAGTTCGCCTGGCGAACTTGCCAGGGAAGACCACTGGGAGTTATTTTGAAATTACTCGCTAGCACACTCACATGGCGAACCTTCGCCACTCTCATTCGCCTGGCGAACTTGCCAACGAAGACAGAGTGGATGCTTCTGACTTAGTTCGCTGCTGCTTGCTGGGCTTCGCCTGGCGAAGCTTCGCTGCCGTTCGCCTGGTGAACCTGCGAACTCAGAACTTCCATGGCTGTCCAACAACCCAACTTCACAAATCGACCGATTCTAAAACCAAACTACCCCAGTAAGTCCAACCCAATAACACCCGATTATCCTACTCCATCCATTTCTCGATTCTAACCGGTTAAAACCACATTCTATCGATTAAATCCTAATATTGCCCTAAGATGGAAATGAGTAGAAACTCTTCTCAATCCAACATCAAACAATCAACAGCATACATAATCATACACATTAACAGTATAATAGAGTTTGACACCCTTACCCGATCGATTGAAAGCTTGGATGTTGATCCTTGATGAAATCCTAGGTTTTCCTCTTCTTTCTCCTCTTTCTCTTCTCTTTTCTTTCTTTCCCTTGTTTTTCCACTAATGTTTCTATCTATCTCCTTTTCTCTCTTATGTCATATTCTATTTTCTTTCCTCTCCATTTCTTTCCAAACACTTACCAATTAATTCTCACACAATAATCCACTTAACACTTAATACTAAATGTCTAAAATACCCTTTACTCTATTTTCCCCGAAAACTCTCCGAATCGGTAAAATAGCACAATATTGAAATTAAACATATCAACACATAAATTCCACAATTAAAATACCAATTATCCAAATGAATTAAAAAGGACTCAATAAAAATGGGAAATTCAGAATTTAGGGCGTTACAAATCTCCCCCACTTTAGAAATTTTCGTCCTCGAAAATATTACCTGTTTCAAACAACTCTGGATCCGACTCTCGCATCTTGCTCTCCAATTCTCAAGTCATATTGCCCTCTGCAGCACCTCCCCAGGCTACTTTCACAAGCGCAATATCCTTGCCTCTTAGCTCCTTAACTTCACGATCCAAAATCCTAATCGGTAAAACCTCAATCGTAAGGTTATCCCTTACTTCAACCTCGTCCATAGGAATAACATGTGACGGATCCGGAACATACTTCCGAAGTTGCGAAACATGGAACACATCATGCAAATTTGAAAGGTTCGGAGGCAACTCCACACGATACGCCACAGCACCCACACGTGAAATAATCTGATACGGACCAATAAAACGAGAATTCAACTTTTTCGACTTCAAGGCACGACCCACTCCCGTAACCGGTGTAACTCTCAAAAAGACATGGTCGCCTTCTTGAAACTCAAGGTCCTTCCTCCTCTTGTCATGGTAACTCTTCTGCCTACTCTGAGAAGCTCTCATCTCTTCCCGAATAAACTTCACCTTCTCCGTCGTTTGTTGTACCATTTCCGGTCCAACTACCGACCTTTCACCCGTCTCATGCCAACACAAAGGTGTTCGACATCTCCGACCGTATAAAGCCTCGAATGGTGCCATACCAATGCTCGAATGAAAACTGTTATTATAGGTGAATTCAATCAACTCCAAATAACTATCCCAAGCACCACCTTGCTCTAGCACACAAGCACGTAACAAATCTTCCAACGACTGAATTGTCCTCTCGGTTTGACCGTCCGTCTGCGGATGGTAAGCCGAACTCAACCTCAACTTAGAACCCAAGGCACCTTACAAACTTTCCCAAAATCTTGAAGTAAATCTAGGATCTTTATCCGACACAATACTCTTAGGAACTCCGTGCAACTTTACAATCACACGAACATAAATCTCGGCTAATT